GAAACCCTCCCTTGAAATCCGTAGTAATTCACGGTCCTGTATTACGTGCCAAAAAGAACACCCTCCCCCAGTCGGCGACGACCGATTCTTGCAGGCTCGCATTACAGTGAACGAGCGGAGAATCCACGTGTTTAGCAATAGCATTCAATACTAAGCGATATTTAAGTTCAATCATTTGTTTTTAAACGTTGCGTATTTTATCAAAGTGTATTGTAATTTAAATACTCAATAGAAATTTTGTAAAAGTTAACAGTAAGTAACACAATAACCAAGATTTTTTCATTTATAACTTTAAAAGTAATGATAAAAATTATTATATAAATGAAATGATAATATTAATGAAATAGAAATATTTCTAATATCAATTTTTTTCTGCAAAAATTTATGTTAGATCGGCGACCGATGCAGGGTCGCATTACAGTGAACGAGCGGAGAATCCACGTGTTTAGCAATAGCATTCAATACTAAGCGATATTTAATTCAATCGTTTGTTTTTAAACGTTGCGTAATATTAAGACTTTGCGTATTTTATCAAAGTGTATTGTAATTTAAATACTCAATATAAATTTTGTAAAAGTTAACAGTAAGTAACACGATAACCAAGATTTTTTCATTTATGAACTTTAAAAGTAATAATAAAAATTATTATATAAATGAAATGATAATATTAATGAAATAGAAATATTTCTAATATCAATTTTTTCTGCAAAAATTTATGTTAGATCGGCGACCGATGCAGGGTCGCATTACAGTGAACGAGCGGAGAATCCACGTGTTTAGCAATAGCATTCAATACTAAGCGATATTTAAGTTCAATCATTTGTTTTTAAACGTTGCGTATTTTATCAAAGTGTATTGTAATTTAAATACTCAATAGAAATTTTGTAAAAGTTAACAGTAAGTAACACAATAACCAAGATTTTTTCATTTATGAAATTTAAAAGTAATGATAAAAATTATTATATGAATGAAATGATAATATTAATGAAATAGAAATATTTCTAATATCAATTTTTTTCTGCAAAAATTTATGTTAGATCGGCGACCGATGCAGGGTCGCATTACAGTGAACGAGCGGAGAATCCACGTGTTTAGCAATAGCATTCAATACTAAGCGATATTTAAATTCAATCGTTTGTTTTTAAACGTTGCGTAATATTAAGACTTTGCGTATTTTATCAAAGTGTATTGTAATTTAAATACTCAATATAAATTTTGTAAAAGTTAACAGTAAGTAACACAATAACCAAGATTTTTTCATTTATAAACTTTAAAAGTAATGATAAAAATTATTATATGAATGAAATGATAATATTAATGAAATAGAAATATTTCTAATATCAATTTTTTTCTGCAAAAATTTATGTTAGATCGGCGACCGATGCAGGCTCGCATTACAGTGAACGAGCGGAGAATCCACGTGTTTAGCAATAGCATTCAATACTAAGCGATATTTAAGTTCAATCATTTGTTTTTAAACGTTGCGTATTTTATCAAAGTGTATTGTAATTTAAATACTCAATATAAATTTTGTAAAAGTTAACAGTAAGTAACACAATAACCAAGATTTTTTCATTTATGAACTTTAAAATAATGATAAAAATTATTATATGAATGAAATGATAATATTAATGAAATAGAAATATTTCTAATATCAATTTTTTTCTGCAAAAATTTATGTTAGATCGGCGATGACCGATGCAGGGTCGCATTAATTACAGTGAATGAGCGGAGAATCCACGTGTTTAACAATAGCATGCATTCAATACTTAGCGATATTTAATAAGTTCAATTATTTTTTTAAACGTTGCATAATATTAAGACTTGGCATATTTTATGAATAAAACAGTATTATAATTTAAATACCCAATATAAATTTTAAAAAGATAACAATAACAAAGATTTTCACTGTCTTGTTCATATATGAATTTTAAAAATTATTATGGATGAAATGATAATATTAATGAAATAAAAATATTTTTAATATCAATTATTTTCTGCAAAACTTTATATTGGATAATTAAATTGAAAAATTACGATTAATAATGATCTTTTTTTCATACATATATTTTAAGAAAAGTTGAAGATTTTTCAGAGAAGATTAAGATTCCAAGCTGTATATAAGAGAGAGAGATACTCTCTTTCTCCGTAAAATAAAAACAGCAAAAATATGATATTGTGCAAAAGTACGAGATTAACAAATGGCGACGAAAAATCGGACGATTCGCCGCGAATGAATAAAGCAGTCTAAAAACAGTCGCAGGAAAACGGATTGGTCGGGCTTCTGTGTGGTCATTTTCTAGAGGACTCGAAGAACAATCGCATTTAATCGAGTCGCCGTTTACCGAGACTCTTGCTTAAAGGAGATCCCAGATGAAACGAGAGCAAACTCGATCGTTCCGGTATCCAGGAGCCGACAAACCCTGTTTTTCCCTCTTTTTATGTGGAAACCCTCTTTAAAAAACGGCACCTCTCTTCTTCTCCGTAAAGCACATTTTTTTAAAAAGCCGTTTTCAACTGTTTAATTTCATTGAATATTTAAAATAATGTACATATTAAGTCATCAATTTGCGTGGAATCCAATTACGGATTCTCCACAGCACAAATTATACACCAAATTTGCTAAGTTTAAGAAAACAAATTACGCGATTTTATTCCGCAAAGTTAGCCGAAAGATTTACAATCGCGTCAAAAAAATATCTCGTAAATCGAGAAAGACATATACTATATACATGCGTATAATAAAAAATAAACGAAAACTTTTTTACCTCACTGATAATGAAGCTGTATAACTTCGAAAGCAGTTTAGTTATAAATTTATGTACTTGGGACCGCGCACAAGAATCTTCTATAAAATGAAACTTTATTTTTGGCGATGGTAAAGAGACACAAAAACATTTAATTCTCTCTGTGGAATTTGTAGAGTTATCTTTTCTGCTCAAAACCTCATTTAACCAAAAAATTTATATGACACATAATGTTGCCATCTTTACGTTATTTATAATTTGAATCTTCATCTTCATTCTTTTCATCATCATAGTTATATCCAATTTTACACGCGCGATTTAATTCGAAGTCGATGTTTTATTTATCGAATTTTCTCTTAATACCTAATGTGTTTTGAGTTTTAATTTTTGAAAAAAAAAGAACAATACCAAAAACGTAGTCTTTATTTATATTTTTACCATTTGTTACTTGTAACTGCGACTTGTTTCACGTGATATTTGTCTCGCGAACATTGCGACATTCTACGGAAAGATGGGTTAGGTATATTCTTAGAGGTTTAAGTTAAATTGAAGCGCTCTTACCTCGAGGAAATGTTATCACGGGCGCCGACAACAACGCCAGGGGTTGTTCATCGAAATGGGATTACTTTTTTATTAAAGGGCCGCGTGATACGCATTTAGGTTTCACGACGTAAAGCAAAAATTAAGCCCAGCCTCTTCCGCGTGCAACGATTATATAAAACTTTAAAAAATATCACACCATCTTTCTCTTTCTCTCTCTTTTTGTCGATTCATAAAATTTATTTTTATCTCCTTAATTATATATTTACGATATTTGAATATCTATTAACATAATAATTCTTGATATAAATTATGAAAGTAATATCTACATTGTATATAATTTATATGCGCATGTATAATAATATCGAATAATATCAATTTGTCTTTATTAATAATTGATGTCTCTTTATTAACGAATAACATTGAGAGAGAGAGAGAGAGACTCTTTGAAATCTCGATAATAGGAAAAGAATCAACAAGAGTCAGTTCGCACAGATATTTGTACGTAAACATTTATATACGTTGATATATATATATATATATATATATATATATATGATATAATTGCTCCTGTAATAATCCTTTCTTTCATTCATTTTGCTTCTATAAATGATTGAACGATTGTAAAAATAACAAACGTTTCAACATAAATATTTACGCACCGAGATTTGTGTTCTGACTTTTTTTTATGATTGGACAAATCATTACCGGTAGCTAAGATTCTATTGGTTTTTTTCTTTGTCGATCCTTCTTAAACTCTTATCCTGCATTTTTTAATACAAAGTTTAACTCGATAATGTCGAATCGAATTTCATCTAATTGGGCTTCTTTTTATACCAGAAAGATATGCACTCGTTATTTAATATTTTTTCTGTTTGTCACTTATAATTTATAACCAGCTTTTTTAAAGTGATATTTTCCTCGCGAACATCGCGATATTCTGCAGAAAATTAAATTAGATACATCTAGTGTTGTGCTTAGATAATTTTAAAATTAGCTAAATAAAGATGAGCTGAAAATATGTAAATTCATCTTATTGTTAGATAAGCCGAAGATGATTTTGTATGGCGACCCATCTAGATAATATTATTTTAATTTCCAGATAATATTATTTTTGAGATATATATAAACACAATTGTAAAAAATGTAGATTATATAAAGAATATATTCATATTTTGATTTATAAGTTTTGTATCACTTACTGCTTAAGTTCTATACTACTAAAGTATTTTCATGTGCTATGACTCTAAACCAAATTATCTGAACATTATTCTACATAATTTAGTAAAAATATATATTTTTTTCATCTAAGATGTAGATCTAAATAATACATATTTTATTATCTATATAAAGATAAGATGACGCCAAAATTATTTCATCTCGTTGATCACCTTGATAGTTTTATTGAAATAACAGCAATAATAATATTCTAAAAAGATAAAAAACCTTCAAGTGTATGTTGCATCAATTTTAGGTGAAAAACTGACATAATACGACTTCGAAATCTCGCACTCTGAAATAATCAATTATATCCCGAAGGCAAGAGAGAGAGCTCTCGAAAAAGACCGCGATCGTCTCGAGTCATTCTTCACCCACCGGTTAGTCGGCGAGATTTATAGACGCGCGAAAGGGATATCGATCGCGCGTAGACCCATCGTGTATTGTTAGTAATTGGAACATTTATGAGCCAATCAATCACTTCTGCCGTTGCAGTCCCCCCTATGCTATGGATACCGCATCAATTGGTCGGGGCGCCCTTGGGCTACTCCGTTATGTTGGAATGCTATACAGAGGCTCATCCGACTTCTTTGAATTACTGGGCGAGAGAGGACGGTCTAATGATTCACGAGAGCACTAAATACAAGGCTACGTCGACGCCCGACAAGCCTCCCTACAAGACGCACATGACTCTCACGATATCCAACATACAGGTGAGTGAATGCATTCTGCATTATAGTTTTGTGTGTGTCGATTTTGTTTCCATCTGATCTGGTTTGTTCAAACTTTTCTACACGCGTGACGTATTTATATGGAAATTACTCGTGCAAAGAAATAGACTTTTTTTCTAGTCGAGTGGAGAATTTATGATACAATGATAAAGTATAAATATACGACTCGTTGCTTTATCGATATATATATCGCGCGAAAAATTAAGCGTTGTAAATTTTTTGCGTGTTTAATAAATTAGAATTGCACGGTAATAATGGCGAAATATGACGTAATCGCTGTAAAAAAGCGTGGCTTAATCATGTGCACCGCGTTAAAATTCACGGCTGGATAATGGCACTATATCGTAAATCATCGATCGTGACGCGATGAGCGCGATAGATGAGTGTAATAAAGTACTCGTTTAAACTATATATATGTACATGTGCAAAAGAAAAAAAAGAAAAAAACATTTATCATTATTCAACAATGATAATATTAATGTCCCACAAAATACAACATAGTGACTATTAATTAGTATTTAACAGCAATATCGACATATATATCTGTAATATATATTTCATTAATTATGAAATTGAATTTTCTCAGACAAATTTTTATAATTATAAGAAAAATGTGTTGCAGTTTCTCCAAATCTTAAATTTTATAATTAATGAGGAACATCTTGTGTAATATAATTACTTTATTAAAATCTGCTTCTCTCTCAGTAATTATTCGTACTTATTAAATATATTTAACTTTTTACTATTATAGTTATAAATATTTAACAATTTATAGAATTATAAAAAAAGATTTCTCCAGAATTTCAAATTTTTACATGAGGCGAGGAATATCTTGTACTATATATATGTAAATATTTTATTAAAATCTCTCGTTTTAGTAACGTGTTCATTCGGTTTATTTTTAAAAAGTAGACTTATTGTTAGATGTAGTACTACAAGTAGAGAGATATATAAATATTTAATAATTTATATAATTATAAGAAATATTTTTCTCCGAAATTTCAAAATTTTACAATTAATGAAGTGAAAATATCTTGTACTATACATGTAATTATATAATTAAAATCTCTCATAGAAAGTAGATTTTGATATAGCTACAAATGCGTCGTTAAGAACCCACGTGCAGAGATAGGTATATAATAAATATTTAATAATTATAAAAAAAATCAAAGTTTTTCCCCGAATTCCAAAAGTTCACAATTAACGAGGAGAAGATATACATATATGTATATATCTCATACTACATGTAAATAATAATTAAAATCTTCTTTTAACTTTGGTAACTCGTTCATTCGGTTTGCTTTCAGAAAGAGGACTACGGTAGCTACAAGTGCATCGCCAAGAACCCACGTGGAGAAACCGACGGAACGATTCGTCTGTACAGTAAGTGTCTCTCTCTCTCGTTTTGCTTCTCCGCGTTTTGCCCCGAGCCATACCAAGCCGCGGTATACCGTTTACTAAGGTAATGACGGTTCGTCGCGAGCTGTTTGGCGCGTTTATGCCGCGTGGCTGTCATTTCCCGCTTGTTTACAAAGTACCGACGAAGACGAGGGGATAGTAGTGGTAGTTCTCAACGAACTACGTAATTTCTACGGCACACCCGTTAACGGATACACCCCCGCGGTTTGTTTCTTCGGGCGACGCGTTTCGGCGGTGCAGTTTGACACGGTTAATTCCGCTCGCCCGTTACGCGATATCTCTTCCTCTCCTACACAAATATACCCACGTTAATTACCTCCGCCTAATATTTGCCAACAGATCGTGATTCGCGGTGGCACTTCTCCCGAATTAAATCGCAACGTAGTTGGCTGTGGCTACGGGGCTTTAATGCGGCTGATTAAATACAAATAGCTTCAATATTTAGTTTTTCACTTTATTATCGATTTTATCCTTCCGCAGTATTTTATTTCTCATTTTTTTTTTAATATACGATGCATGCGTTTAATTAAGTGCGGGAGAAATTAAGAAATTATTTCGAGCTACGATCAGACATACTGCAAATATAGATGTGAAATATGCATGTATGTAACTCGTGAAAAAAAGAAAAAAGAGTATGAAAGTCGGCATATGTAGAAAGCAAATAGAATCAATGGCGCTTACGAAAACGAATGTGGGGACGAGATCACTCCATTAGTTCCGACCGGTTTTTCGCATTAGCAGCATTCAAATGAAGCGAACATTTAGCATAAAAGATTATCAATAAAAGGGAAGGGAAGAGAGATGACGAAAGGTAAATCTCTGATTCGTTTAAAAAACAACGAGGGCGTAAACGATTTTTCATGCAACGCAATACTTTTTGTTTTGTTATTAATTTTGCCACTAATTCTCTCTCTCTGTGCACGTAAATCATTTAACGAATTAGAGATTTTTTTGTCTAGACTAATTTATACATGAAACGTTATGTGAGAAATTGTTATTTTAAAAATTAATTTTATTAAAAATAGGACTCACCGGTTCGATGCGTAACAGTAGAATTGACAAACGTTGCAATCTGTAAAATATAAACACAATAAAAGTAATAAAGCGAATAATATGCCTAAAACAATTAATATCTTTATAAATATTTTTACGCACATTTTTTCATTTTATAACAAAAAAATTTTATAGTTTATGAAAAAAATTGTTTTTGTGATTGGTTTTGTGTTTAACTACATGATTGCTTTTATAAAATATAACAAATATACAAATAAGGAATAAATTATTAAAAATATAAATATATAAATTATTTAAATAAATAAAAATTTTAAACATTGCTAAAATATTTTATATGTATCTGCTTAAAAATGTATTAATTTTGATATAAATATTTTAAATATTTTGCAAAAGAAAATTTTAACTATTTCATATATGCATTATATTACGTAATAATTTAAAACCCATCGCGAAAATAAATAAATAATCAATTTTACAAGTATATATACAATGCATTACTTTGCGTTCTCAATGAAATGACAAGCAAAATATACTTTGTAAATCGATGCAAAATTTAAGGTACAAGACCAAATATATGCGACTCTAAAGATATTTAAAGAAATTATTGGAGAAAATAACATCACAATAAAATAATTTCCATTTCATGGCGCTTTTTTCGATTCTACTCTTGTATGTGAATATATCATGAAAAATATCCTCTTTGAAAGATAATCGTTTCGAATCACAATAATATATACACAACATTCACATATTATATACGAGTATATAATGTATACGAGAGTTAATTAATCGCGCGGGCTAATAATAATCCTAGAAAATAATCTTATGTATCTTCAATTATTTATCGTAATAATATATTTCGAGAGATACAACGATGACATACACAGATGACAATAACAGAAAATAACAAAATGATATTTTTATCTTTTGATAATTGCGCCGAATAAAAAATACCGAATTTTTCATTTATAATATCGCAAATAATATAAAGCCATGACATCTCCCGTATATTAATAACCAATTCGAAATTCGAGAAATATTATCTACGTGCTTTTATTTTATAACGTGTTAAATATTTAATATTAAATATTTCATGATGGAACAAATTAATTGTCATACGGTATTCGGTAGCGCTCGTCTTTGCAACGTCACAGCGCGCTATTGTTTACATGCCGTGGCCTTGCTGTCACTCGCGCGCCGAGACTCGAACGAGTTGACAGCACGAGTTGACAGCCGCTCCGTGTGTCATTGCATTAATTTTCGTGAGACGTATCGGAAGATGCCAAAAGCGATTGTTCACTTCGCTCATTATAATTACCGATAGTCAACCGTTAGAATCGTCCTAAAACCAAAATTGTATGTACTATTTGACAGGTGACGAGTGATTTTTGTCGCCGGATTTTGGATTACCGATTGTAAGTGAAATTTACCTTTCGCACGATCGTAGTTTCCGCGTTGTTCTCCCATTACGATATAATGAGGTTCGCGTCGTATACGATTAACGATTCAGGAGTGCTGTGCAAAGTGCCATACGGCCGTCGTGTTCTGCTGATTAGTGCGCGCGCGATCGTAATTAACCGTGTTTGCGCGAGCGAGCGTGAGTGAAGGAGACACAAGGCCGAAGAGAGAAAGCTGAGAAGGATCGGAGAAACATTGATGATGCTTCGTAATAATGAATATCATTTATAAAAACAAAAAGTGATAAATAAAAAGGCCAACTTATTGAGCAATTATTAGAGTTGTTCAGTCAAATAAAATTTATTCCATGTATAAACTATTAAACATAAAACATTATGTGAAAGCTACAATTTATTTGACTGAACAACTCAATAAGTTGGCCTTTTTATTTATCACTTTTTGTATTTACAATATACGAGCGAAACTTTGTATCAATTGATCATTTATAAAATATTTAATTTATTCTTAATTAAAAAAAAAGAAAGCATAATATATGTGATATATGAGTCAAAATTCGTAATAAAATCGTCCAATTTTTTTTTTTTTAATATCGCGGATATAATTATTGTGGAAACGGATAAAAAAATGTTCTAATTATATTACGAGTGTGATATTTTCTCTAACAAAAATAAAAATAATTTTTTGTTCATTCGTTTAGAAAATTAAAAGCGAGCACAATATGCATACGACGCGGACAGATTATTGAAAAAAGCATTTCCACGATGAAATCCTATGTATTTGTCGGGCTATCGGCGCAACGTGGCGCTAATGCTGAATTATTGATATCCCCTAAAGGGATGCAGGATTAACCGCGCACTAAGAGTCATGTCCCATAATCAAATGCGTTGCGGAGTTGTGTACAAGCATTATACATTCTGCCCTGAGGTGCATAATTGCTAATTATTGCAGACGCTTAGCAGCGTCAAATATTACTTGCATTATATAATTCTCTTATGACGTTAATCGCGGTATTTATATTAATATATAAGCAAATGCTCGTAAATATAATGACAAAATTAAAAAAGTAAATATTTTTGATAATAAAACCTTACAACGGAATATTCAATAAATTATAAATAAAACACTACTGATGGGGTAAAAATTAATATTCTCATCACACGCGGAGCGAAATGGACAAGCAAGGAGAAGAGCGTGCGTACTTTTTTCGTCCCATTTAAAATCGTCGATTTGAAATCGACTGTGACCATTCCATTGTTCCGTCCACGAGCGAGAGGATGGGAATTCGAAGAAGAAGAAGAAGAAGAGAAGAAGAAGTAGAAGAAGAAGCCAGACCAGAAAAGAATTCGAATTTCTCGGAGCGTCTCCAAAGGGGAAGCGGAGAAATAACTTCGGAAAGTCCGGCCAAAGGCATCGGGCAGGAGAGAGGACTGTCTAGAGAAGAGAAGCAAACAAACCTACTTCTAGTACAGTCGGCAACAACGTCGCCGATGAGGGAGGGAAACCCGGGTTTCTCTGGGAAAGCGAAAAGGGTCGGGTCGAAATTAAGTGGCCGTAGTTAGAGATATGTCGGCCGAGTTTTATTAAGCGACATAAAAAAGAGATTTGTAGACTGACTGAAGAAGACACCCTCTCCTTCCGGAGGTAGTCGCGAGGACGATTCCGGTCGCGGGGTTTCGTCTGGCGGCAGTAAAGAATAGGGGAGACAAGTCGAGGGATGACGCCGAGATATGAATTTATTATTAAGGACCGCCTAAGGGGCAAAGTACCCCTGTTTCTTGATATCCGAGTACTTGGTACCCGTGTCTTACCTCGTCTTTACCCTCTCGAGGCCTCTTTTTTTTTTCATCGTACCTTTCTTGCCTCCGCATCTCGACCTCGCGAGAAAGCTCGAATTCCCCGGCTAATTTATTCCATAGCCGAGTCAAACTGCTATTTGTAGCGGCGTTGAAGCGCGGGCTTAGTATGCGAAGAGTGACGGAAGAGAGAAGAAGGTGAAAACTTACTTGCTGCGGTCGCAAAGGATAGTATAACAATATCGTATTCATTTGGCACCCCTTCACCCCCGTGATTTTCTCAGACCAGAGCTTCGTATACATAATGCAACGTCCACCCTCTGATTCAACCGCTCTAAATGTCGCTGCTAAAACGTGGATTTAATAAACGGCCGCGCTTTGTCGACCTTCGTAAATGTCATTTTTCGGCCCCCTCGGTTCTCGAACATATTTGCTTATGCATGGAATTGTACCTACAATCTGTCTCGAAACATATACAGGGTGTCCGGTAACTGACGGATCAACGATTACAAATGGATTCTTTGGTCAATTTGGGAACGATTTTTCCTCAGCGAAAATGTCGAAAAGGTCATCATTTTCTACAACTTTCCAATATTTGTCATTATGTATCTTTATAACTAAGCCTCGAATTAAAATTTTATTATAATAAACTCTACCTGAAATTAACTGAAGAATGTAATTCAAAAAACCCATTTTTTCAATCGCTTATAACTCGAAAATTATTGACTTCTCAACATTTTTGCTAAGGAAAAATCGTCTCCAAATTGGCCAGAGAATCCGTCCTTGATCATTGGTCCGTTAGTTACCGGACACCCTGTATATAACGATCTAAAAAATTTCTTCCGATATTATAAGGGCCAATTATTATGCCTCATTAATGTAAATTCTTGTTATAATTTTTGACAAACTGTGCGTCGCTCTAACAATCGTTGCAATCGTATTACATCTTCAATTTGCATTTCCAAGTTTTTTTTGCCGCGCTCGAGATTGTAAAGCTGTACATTCGCGAGACGATTACAATGTGACTTTCGACCGTAAAAATCCCTTAACGCTTAACAAGGTCTTAATGAAATTCTTGCAAACGGAAAACTTGTGTCTCAAATTCCTCCCGCAAATCCATACTGAGTTGTCGGACTTTGAGAACTTTCGCGGTCGCGCGGTATCGCGGCACGCAAAGTTGTACGAGCTTTTCATTTGGATTTGAGAATTTCACTAACGAATTCTTCAGCGTAAGATGCAAACGAAGCCGCGGCCCGGCGTGACTTTGATAAATTTGTTGTGAAACTCTTTCTGCACATGCATTCCGGAAGCCGGTAACGCAGCGGCACTTAGCAATTTCACCGTCGGAGTTACACGGAGGAACGAATTTCAACGAGAATCTCGTTTAGATTTTGAAACGTTGTTGCGGCGAGCATTTTCTCGCCGAATTTTTACGCAGACAGTATCTAACGAAGTTATATTCTTAACTTATCCGCGAGAGAGATGCCGCGAAGAGATATATATTCATTCCGACTGTTTCTCTCAACTGTATTAACACACTTGATATGTATGTATGTAATGTATGTACGTGTCTCTCGAATAATTTCACGAATATTACAACGTCAGAAAATACAGTTCCGTTCATTGTTTGACGACGTTCGCTGTAATATTATTATTATATTTATACATTCTTTTATCAAATATTTTGGTGAAATACAAAGCCAGTTTGCGTTATTACTTGCATTTTACTTGGAATTTTATTAAGCGACAAATTTATGAAAAAAAAAAAAATTACAAAGAATTGCTATTTAAAATTCGCTGTAAATTTCTAAACATGAGAAACATTATACATTAAATTTTTTTAAAT